GTGTGCTGCAGGCTTCAGGGCAGTGAGGAGGCAGCAAGTGGGTGCCGGGAGACACTCGGGGGTGGCAGGTGCCCCAAACATTGCGGAGCAGCGCACGGGGAGCTCAACAGGCACAGAAAATAACTCTGGGGGTCAGGGGTGAGGGGAGTTTGGCGGCGACAGGAAGTAACGGGGGGGGGGCGTGGGGAGCTCCACGGGCCGCAGGGAAGACACCACCCAATCCCCCTGCACTCCCCTGGGTGCACAGCCCACCCAGCCTTGTCCTGGTGCTCCACGGGAGGGGAGGTGCTGGGTGTATTCCGAACGGGGAGGGGACCCATCGGGCTGGGGTCTGTAACGCTGTGTGTGGTGCCCACTTCTGGTGACTAGCTCCAGTTCAGCGCCCCCTTTCTTCTCTTCCACCATTGCAGCTCCCGGAGTTGCGGCTGCCCCGGGTCTCAGCCGTCCGGCCAGGTCACACTGTGAAACCCCATTCTGGGAGAGCCTTTCAAAGTCAGACCCCTCTCTCCTATGCCTGCAGGCTCCAGCCGGGCGGCGCTTAACTCAGGTGGCTCCTGGTCGGCAGCGCAACGGGGCTAAGGCAGGCTCCCTGCCTGCTCTGGCCCCACGCTGCTCCCAGAAACAGCCACTGGGGATTGGGGCAGAGGGGTCTGCGCACCGCCTCTGCCTGCAGGCACCGCCCCCGCAGCTCCCATTGGCCGCAGTTCCCGAGCATCTCCAGATTTACTCCAGTGTGAGAGCAGAATCTGGACCCACCAGGAGGGGGCCTAGGCTGTGGGGGGCCCTCGCATGTGAACTTAACACACCAAGAAAGCTGTGGAGCTAAAAGGCACAATTATCTTTGCTCTCCCCCCTACACACAGGGTGTAGCTCACAAGCCCCAAGATCCAGGTTCAGAGAAGAGGGTCCAAGCCCCATCGCCGGGGCCTGAATTTTATCTTTCACAGAAACTCCATCAGGAGGAAACGATCCCACGTGATGATTTCAAAGTCTTCACAAAGCCAATTGTGCATGAAGGCCAGCGCATGGGAGCCGGAAACTGAAACTGACTAGGAACGAAAGCAAAACTGACCAGGTTGGAGGGGGTGGAAGTATCACTGTTCAAAACCTGGAGTCAAAAGCAGAACAGAAGAGAGTGAAAAAGGAGAATGATCCAAACTGATTTTTCTTAGCTACAAACCTGATCCCAGACGTCACACCAGGAACGTTTGTTCTCAGGATACAAGAGACGCCGACTGTGCTCTTCGACCCCTTCAGCAGAGCTTTGGTTTTAAATAGGAAACAAATCGAGGGGATTGTGGGAGTGGGGGGGGGAGGGGGGAGAGACACAGCCTAGGGCCGGGCTGGCAAGCAAAGGACAGCTACCTTGAAAGAATACTCTAGCTTGACGAGGAATTCAAAGTTGACAACCTGGAGGATGCATTTCTCGTTGAGGGTGTGCTCAATTTGTTTGAGCTTCACAACCTGGGAGAGAAAAGTAAATAGCAACATCAGATCTTCCTCTGCTGGCACAGCACCTCCTGCGCCTCCCACACACTCCCCTCTCCTGCATCCACACGCAGGGTTCAGCTCCAAATCCCTGCCCCGCACTGGGGGTTGGCTAGAGAGAGGTCCATGTGGGGGTGCTCCTGCAACACCCCTACCGCCGGGCCTGCCCCTCGACACACCAAACAGCCTCGTCAGGGAGGGCTAATGCAGCCCCCAGCGCCTACAAAAGGGGGTGCACTTATGCCTCTACCCCCCCACTGAACATACCATTTGGGGTGCCTGTTCCACGCCCTGCAACACACAACCTGCACCCCACAAGGAGACACTCGTACAACCCTCCAGTCAAATGACGTTAAGAGGCGTGGATCATGTTGCTCTAATGGGATGATACAAGATCTACTACTGCTGCCAGCAAAGGGGATGAAGGGGGAGGAGATTCCCCCTTAGCTCAAAAGGCAGAGGCCTGTGTGTAGCCTTCTCTAAACCATGCAGGCAGCACCCACCAATGACACCAACAGCCCACAAGGGGGTGCTCCGCACACACACAGACACAGGTGTAGGAGGCAGCCATGAAAGTCGCAAACCCCAGTTGGGCTTTGCCCACAAAGGGGTTAAAACGGCCAGCTGCAGCCTCCGCAGCAGCAGCCTGGGAACAACAAGTGCCCAGCTCTCTGGCATCCTTCCTTCGCCAGCCGGGCTCCCCATCCTTGCTGCCAGATCCCAGAACTATGGGAGCAATCTGCAGCAGCTGGAGAGATATTTGGTACCGAGAGCCCCTTGTATCTTCACTGCCTCCCACTGCTCCCGACAAGGACAAGTCCCGCAGCTCTTAATAGTGCAAGAGATGCCCATGGGATTTGAATAGTTGCAGCATCGAGGCCAAGCACAGAGCAGCAGCAGGGGGTGGCTTTGAACCCAGAGCTCACCCCTACCGCCACCATCACATGCAGGGCCGGCGCTGTCTTTTTCGCCGCCCCAAGCAAAAAACAAAACAAAACAAAAACGCGGCGGCCGGAACAGAAAAGAAAAAAAAAAAAAAAAAAAAAA